CCATGCACATACAGCCTTAACGACCCTGATTCCTCGCGCAACGCCGCCCCGAAAAAAAGCGCGGACGCGTGAACCAAAAAACGCGAAAAAAGCGGTGCCCCTAGCAAGAAACCATGCACGGTGTCAGAGGCGGCGGGTTCTTTTAGGGTTTAGGGTTTAGGGTTTAGGGCTGAGAGCACTTCCTTCCTACAATCTCTCTTCTATGGACTTCTGCTTTTTGGTGGAACCCCCGAGCCCCGGAGCCCCTAAGCCCTACGCCCAAAGCCCTGCGGCCCTTGCATGCCCTCAAGGTGGCAGGGGGGTTTAGGGTTTAGGGTTTAGGGTTTAGGGTTTAGGGTTTCGGGTTTCGGGTTCAGCTGGGTCTCCTTGGGTTTCACTTCCACCGGCCGGCCAAACTTGTACCTGTGTGGGGAGGGAGGGGTGCTTGCCACAGCAGGGCCTGAGTGACCTAAACCCTAAACCCTAAACCCTAAACCCTAAACCCTAAACCCTAAACCCTAAACCCATATAAGCCCTTTAGGGTTGAGGCTTTCTAGCCCAAAACTTAAGGGGAGAGCCGGAGAGCATGAGACCTCAGGCCGCTGAAGTGGGAGCAAGACGAAACTTGTAATCAAGGGTTTAGGGTTTAGGGTTTAGGGTTTAGGGTTTAGGGTTTAGGGTTTAGGGATCGGGCTTCGGGCGGAACATAGGAAGTCGGTGGGCATGCTTGATGCTGATTTGGCCTTTGTCGGGAACAAGGGGTTCAAGGTTTGCAGCTTGACCCGAAACCCTAAACCCGAAACCTAAATCCCAAACTCTAAACCCTAAACCCTAAACCCTAAGTTAGGGCTTAGGGCTGGATGTTGGGTTTCCTAGCATCCTCCTCATTGAAGACTTGAAAGTTAAGGGAGGGGCCCCCCCGAAACGTCCAGAGGCCTGAAGCCCTGCAACAAAACTCAACTCTATAAGCCGAGCCCTGGCAAAAAAAATGTCTTGGAAGCCGAGCCCTCGAAACCTGAAGGCTAAACCGTAAACCCTAAACCCTAGACCCTACACGTAGTAGGGAGCCGGGAATTACGTACCTTACAACCCCTGGCTTATAGTACCCTTTACAGGAGTATATAGGGGGTCTTCCCTTAGTACCCTTTAAAGGAGTATATAGGGGTCTTCCCTTAGTACCCTTTAAAGGAGTATCTAGGGGTCTTCCCTAATCCTGCTCAGCTGCATCACGTTTGTCGGCACCATGTTGGACTCCACCCATCTCTTGGACATGTCTCTGTCCTAGGGCTTATTTAGGGGGCTACTTAGGCAAATAGGGACTATATAAGGTATATATATATATATATATATTGTGGTTATAAATAGGGACTATATAAGGTATATATATATATATATATATATATATATTGTGGTTATATAGGGGTTTTGCAGGGAACAAGATTAAGGCTTCTGGGGCGTGGTGAGTCATTGAGGGATGCATGCACTGGAGCCATACAACCCAAACCCAAACTCTACACTCTCGTGGCTCAGAGAGTAGGGCTTAGACCTCGAACCCTGGCAGCACTAAACCAAGGGCTTTAGGGTTTAGGGCAGCGTCCTTATCCACATCGATGCGCCCGAAATGGATTCGCGACCACTTCCACTCAGATGCCAGTTGCTCAAACTTGGCGCTGATGTCGATGTTCAAGCCTCGTGGAGTCTAGCTTTGGGATGTACAGGCCGAACCCCTGTCAGCTACAATAAGTATTGCAACTCCAACTGCCAGCTCTTGCACGGCCTCTGTGTGCAAACAGGTAGTGACCCTGACCCTAAACTCTCAACCCTCAACCCGGTTTCATGCAAGTTGCGGCCCTTTGGCGAGTAGAAGAGAACGTAAACGTAGTCGTTGTCCTGCTTGAAGAACAGGCTTTTCCAACATGGGGTTGGCCCAGAAACCCTGAACCCGGAACCCTAAACCCTAAACCCCGCACAAGCCGTTTGCTTCAAACGGGTATTTCGCTAAGGGTAGTTATATGGGCCCCGAATATGCGCTCTGAATATGGTCCCTTACCTCCTATAAAGGGTTCTGAAGTTTGGGCCGTTGTGGGCCATGTAAGGGGTGTATAAGGCATCCCCTTTTGAACGTCAATACTAAGGGACCATGTAACTATTTGAAGATTAGAAGGGAACCAAATCCCTCGGAAAAGGGAGTAAGGGTACTGAGAATCTTGGCTGGACCGGCTTTGGGTCTTAGCCCTGCAGAATATACACATCTCCCCAGTGTGGTCGCGTCTGGGGAGAAGTGCGCATCAGCGGCAGAATGCGCATCCCGACATTTTACACCCCAATGTGGGCTCTCCCAGATGTCTAGTTCATTGCCACTGTAGGGAAGGGGTTGGGAGGTTTGGGGATGTCGTGGCTTTAGGGTCTCCTCAAGCCTCCACCACTCCCCTCCTCAAGGGGGCTTCATCGTTTGTTTATGACATATCTTGCCATGGAAACCTCTGAAGCCCTCTCAGGCCCTCAACGCTTCGGAAGGTGAGGATGGTTGTAGGGGTGCAGGGCTTTGGGTCTTTGGGCTAGGTTTGGGGGGTGCAAGGGCCGTCCTGGATGAACTCATCCAGGTCGTAGCAGCATGTGCACGCCTTCCGGCACGAGCGAATTAAATGTTGATGATCAGCACCCTGTATCGAGTGATCCAGAACATGACTACCACCAAAATGAGTCTAAATCCAGAACCCTGCAGCCTTAAGCCCTCAAGTCTACACGCACAAATACAGCACTAGGATTTGGTTTTCGGGTTTAGGGTTTGCAGCGTGGCTCATAGGGTTAGGGTTTTGAAAGTTTGGCCACAGTATGGTTTAGGGAGGATTTAGGGTGTAGGCCGCCATCCCTCTCTCGTAATTGCAGTTCTCCAGATTCGCAAGCAGCAATACCACTGACAACACTAAGCCCAAGCCCAGCATCTTCAATTCAGCCTTGCTCCAAACCCTCAGAAACAGAAAATGGGAAGAACAGTGGACCGGTTTAAAAGGGTTGGGTTTAGGGCTTGGGGTTGAGCATGTAAGGGCACAGCCCACCCCTAAGACCTGCATCCCTCAGGGGCTGCGGTCCTCAGCTGTAAACTGGACCACTGGCTCCTCGCCGGTCCGATCCTGTGCAGCAGAAGCTCAGCTGAACCCCCAAAGGTAGAAAGCTGCTTAGGGTTCAAGGTCTAGGGTTTGCTGTGATATGGCGCGGAAGCTGCGCAGGCTAGGATGGAGATTAGGTTGTTCTGGCCCGACTTTAAGAAGGCCATCGAATGCCGTCGCCCACCCTGCGCCGCCTAGGGCGGCAAAGCGGCCCTAACCCACATTGCACGGTTTTTCCACACCTCTCGATAGCTGCAGCTACGGAAGACAGGCTGGAAGGGGGCTAGGCCCGTGGGTGGCCATGAGCTTCGGCATCGAGCAGACAAAGTCTGGGTTGGGGGGAGCGGGGGGAAGGTTGGCCCTGAGTCTCTGTCATAATTTCGTGCCTTTTAACCAAAGGACAACTTGTAAGTACCATTCTGCAAAACCCTAAACCCTAAACCCTAAACCCTAAACCCTAAACCCTAAACCCTAAACCGTAAACCCTAAACCCTAAAACTCGAAGAGGGGCTGGGCATGGCTCGCTCCGTGCTGGTGGCGCCAGCGCCAGCGCCAGGGCCGCGAGCGGCCCGAGGCCGCGCATGGTGCTGGGGTTTAGGGTTTAGGGTTTCGGGTTTCGGGTTCAGAGGGTTCAGGGTTTAGGGTTTCTTAGGGTTTAGGGTTTAGGGTTTAGGGTTTAGGGTTTAGGGTTTAGGGGTTTAGGGGTTTAGGATCTTCGAGTTGAGGAGCTTCAGGGGCTCCTGGCTCCAGAAAGCAGGGACCCGCGGGCTCTGCGTTTTCGCGTAAGGTTCCAGGGCTTAGGAGCTCTAGGAGCCAACCCGAATCCTAAAACTTTTGAGGATTTTGGGTTAATTAACCCTAAACTCCCGAATGAGCTATTTAGGATTTGGGGTTAATGAACCCTAAACTTTAAGCCCTAATGAGGTTTGGGGTCTAGGGGGTTTCGAGCTCGCCCTGAACCGTAAAAAGCCCCAAAATCGTGGGAGCCATATGCAGCTTGTGGAGCCAGGGGCTGCGATTTTCTGGAGCAAGCTGCTATACATGGTGAGGGTTGAGGCTTTAGGGCCTAGGGTTTAGGATCAAGGGTTTAGGGTTTAGGGTTTAAAGTTTAGGGTTTAGGGTTTAGGATTTTAGGGTTTAGGCTTTCGGGGGTGAGTAGGGATCGCAGGGTGCAGAGGCTTTATCATTCGGGCTTGTACAGTTGCAAGGGTTTATGGGCTCCGTGTTCTCGACCCCCTTCCCTCCCAACCATAAATCCTGACACTTCACCGTAAACCCACCACGAACCACAAAAAGGGAGAGGGGAAACACTAAACCCCAACCTAAACATAGCCCTGAACCCTGAACCCTAAACCTTAAACCCGCAAAAATTCACCTGGGGGCAGGGTGAAAACCCGGGTTTAAAGGAATCATAGAGCTTCGAGTGCTGTTTGCAGGGTCTAGGGTGGCCCATATTGCAGCGCGCCCGGGCAAGGAAAACACGAAAACCCACCACTACCCCAAAGAGCGCAAGGGGGTCTTAGACGTTAGATTATGGGGCTTCTTGCAGGGATCTACAGGGCGGTTTCAGAAGCTCAGGGGACGGTGAGTGGGGTTAGGCTTCAGTAGTTTCGGGACTTGCTTAGACGAAGCCCGGCTTGGGGGGCGCATGGGTACTGAAACCGGTACCCTGTCGCGGTGAACCAGGTCTAGGCCCCCCTACATCCGCTAACATGCGTAAGAGTGGGCCACAAGTGTAGCCATAACCCTCAAGACCCTAAACCTCCATGTCTTGCTATTACCCTACAGCGCCCAGCTCCCAAACCTTCAGCCCAGTTTTCGGTTTTTTGGGCTCAGGATTTGAGGGTGCTCGAGTTGAGGGGTTCCCCCCCCCCCCCCCCCCCCCCCAAAGGCCCAAACGACGGATGAGTCCTCGGCCGCCCCGTCGCTCAGGAGGATGGCTAGCCTTTCTTACTCTGCTTGGAGGTTCATAGTACTTATTCACCAATTCTAACTGTACTTAAAGGGTTTAGGGTTTAGGGTTCAGGGTTTAGGATTCTAACTGTACTTATAGCTGTACTTATAACCATATTGGGGCACTTACGGGGCTTATAAGTGGCTTATAAGTACAGTTATAACTGGTTAATAAGTACCATGAAACTCCAAGCAGACCCGAGAGCAGCCTAGGAATGAACAGGGTGCCCTTTTTTGGTCTACAGGGGGTGACATAAGAGTAACCTAGGAACAATAAGGGTGCCTTTATTTGGTTTAAAGGGGGGCTACAAGGGAACCTAAACCCTAAAAAAGGATAAGGGCGTATACTCTGGGTCCTAGTACTCACCCTTTTCGGGTCAAATAGGGCTCAGTGTTCAGGTTAGCCTGTGGGCGTATATAGGGAGATCAGCCCCCGCAAAGGAAAGTTGAAGGTCAATTACGAGGTTTAATGAGGGGAATGGGTGAAGGGTTAAGGGGCTTAAGGGCTTTTGGGCTGGTTGTTGTGATATAAGTATTCCGCAGACATCTCGCAAGTCCAACCCCGCAGACCACTGAGCCACCAGGCCCACCGATGCCCATGGCAACACCGGGCACGACGAGCAATGGCAGCACGAGGTAGCGCAAGGCCACCACCTGCTTGGGAGGTCACTGGATTCACGGTTCCGGGAGTTGAAAACCTTCTGGGGCGGATGTTTTCTTTTCAGGTACCTACAATCTCTTATAAACCTTAACCCCGCTCACTAGTAAGCCTGAAACCCGACATCAGGCCCCAAAGATTGAACTCAGGGCATAAGGCTTGGGTTTACGCTTTACGGTTCGTGAACCCGAAGCCCTGAACCCTAAACCCTTACTGCAGGGGGTCTAGGGCTAGCTTGAGAGGCAACGAAGATGTGCAGCCTTGTTGGCCAAAACATCGGGTCGGCGCAGCTGGTAGTTGACATCCGCATACCTGCCACGTTTAGGGTTCAGGCTTGAGGGTTTTGTACTTCAGGGTTAGTCTATCTCCTCAAATTCGCGCCGAGAACCCTCCACCCGAGTCTCTGTGAGCGCTGAGTTGCCAGAGTTTCGTCCCGCGAAAGCAACCTCAACCTGTAGACCCTACCTGAAGTCTCAAGCTCTCCAATCCTCGAATGCTCACCGGAGCATGGGCCTGCAATCTGCTGCAAATCTCTGTGAGCCACTGAATGAGGGAGCCACATTGGGCCGGCGATAGAGAGGGAAGGGGGTTGAAGAGAGCTGGGGGAGGTGTGCTGGAGCGCGGTGCCGTCGACAGAATGCAAATGTCGGAAGGGGGCGGGAGAGACTGGGTCTTGTTGGGATGGGGCAGAAGGGGGTTGAGGTGCGCACCCCAACACTTCCCTTTGGGAGGCTAGGAGGGCCATGTTCATGTTCGGCGGGTTGCTTCACGAATCTCCGCGTCCCCCCGGCTGCGCGGCTGCCTGATGATCATCAGCCGGGTGAAGGCGCCCCACATGCGGTACCTTTGCCACGGGGTTGGGGATGGCTTGGAGTCCCCGGAGGGCCTGAGAGCCCAATAAGAATCCATAATCGTCCTCAACGGATGGGTGGGCCCTCCGAAGAACTTCTACTATGGCTGTATACTAGTGTGGGCTGCACGAACATCGAGACACCAAATGGAGGAGCTCCCAAATCCCAGAACTACAAGTTCAACCGACTACAGCATAAACACCGACCCCTGAATGCTCCTAAAACCTCTAAGCCTTATAAGCGCGAACCCAACAGCCCCAACGCGAAGATGAGCGGGCCGGGTTCCATAAACGTTGCGAGGTCTGATCCGCAAAGGCAACATGAAATATATAATGAATGATCTGACTGACGGTTTTGGCAAAGACTAAACGGATGGCGGCGGGCCTTTTATGGCTTCGCCTAGGCCCGCAGAATTCCCAAAAGCAAATACAGAAGCGAAAGTATGTGATATGAGTCATATACTGATCCTGAGCCCTAGAAACCCTGAAGATTTGGAGGCAGAACCTTAGACCTTAAAGGGTTTAAAGCCTGAATTCGGGCAAGGTGATGCCGCCAAGTGCGCGCAACGCCCGGCGAAAACACAAACCGAGAAGCTCTGAAGGCCTGAAGCCCCAAAACCTAAAACCGAAAACCCCAAAGCCCGAAACACCAACCCCCACAAAATCTCCCACCAACATCTTCCAGACTTTCGAACCCCAAGAATCCATGCCGAGAAGCCCCCAAATCGCGGTGAAGATTCCGCCCACCCAGTAGAGGTTCGGTAGCGGCGTCTGGCTTGGGGGCTACAGAGGCTTTATAATTAAGGGTTTATATAGGGCTTCGGGATTGTAAACCCTAAACCCTGAAACCCTAAACCCTGAAACCCTAAGCCTTGAAACCCTAAACCCTGAAACCCTAAACCCTGAAACCCTAAACCCCAAACTAGGGTGTAGATGTTTCGGGTGCCGTTCCTGCAGGTCGGGAGTTCGATTCCGGGGTTCAAAGGGCCCAAAGGCTCAAGGCACCAACACCCTACAATCGAAGCCCCAGAAGGACTTGGCCCAAGAGTATCCTAGGAAGAAAAATAGGGTGCCTTTTTTGGTTTAAAGGGGCTTAATGAGGTAACCCTAACGCCCAACAAGAAGGTAATAGGGGCCTAATCTGCGTCCAAAAGGATGTTTCAGACCCGTGCCCCAAGAGAGGTTCCCAGAGGGTTGAGGGGTTTGGGGCCCTAAAATGGGTTGAGGTTTGAAGGCGCCAGGGTGTAACGGTTTGATGGTGCTCAAAGGCCCGGGCATTCCCTGTGGCTCATCGTGGTGGCTTTGGCACATGAGAGCCACTAGCCCAGTTGTCGCTAAACCCAATAAACCCTAACCCCCAACAGCCTCGGGCGTCTTGCTGTAGGAATCTACACAACTTACAGCATTCAAGCCCCGTCGAGGTAGCAGATGTCGGGGTTTGGGGCCTACCTCAAGGAACCCAGATCTGAGCTGGGCCTTCTCGCTGAGGTGATCCTGGCCATCTCGTTGAGGTTCTCCTCATTGCGTCTCTCCTACGCCTGGCCCCGTGACGAAAGTGCAGAATCTCCAGAAGGATGGCGTTGCAGCTTTTCCGGCAGGCGACGGCGAGGAGAGGCTGCGAGGCAGCTTCGACTTTGCCGCATACTTTCCATCAGACAACATGGGCGGTGGTGGCGGATGTATACCCTGGGCCCCTAGCCGGGTTTGAAGGTTTGGGGAATTAGGAACCCCAAAATGCATCCCTTCTTTCATCATGCGTGACGTACGTCGGCAATTGTGCGTGGACGGGGATACATTGAAAGTGAATTCAAAAATGAGCCTGCTTACTTCTGAGGGAGGCCTAGGGAAACAAAACATCCTGAACAACACGCACCTACTCCCAAAACCTTAAACCCTAAGCCCCAAACCCCTATCGTCCCCGAAAATTTGAGGAAGCCTGCCCTGGAGCCACTGCCAACGCCTCAGGAAGCCGCCGCCAAAGCCGGAGGACGATGTCCTCTTTTGGGCCGGGGACCTGAGACCGGTATGTGTTTGGGGGTTTAGGGTTTAGGGTTTAGGATTTGGGGTTTAGGGGGGATTTGGGGTTTAGATTCTACAGGGTTTTGGGGTTTAGGGTTATACGCTTGTAGGGTTTAGGGCGTAACGTGGCTTGGAAGGGTTTTGTTGGGGGTTTTTCGCAGGGCTTTGGCGGGGTTTGGGGTTCTAGCTGTGGGGAGTTTGGAGGGGTTTTGGTTTTGGGGAGTTTTGCACGGAGGAGCTTTGGGGCTAAGGGCTGAAGGCATTTAAAGGAAGTCCTGCTGCAGATCCGCTTGAATGCTTGGCCCTACAAGCAAAGCCTAAAACCCCTGCACAAAAAATACTCCAGAATCGCAGAATCCATACCCGCTGCTGTGTAAAGCTTCTTGCTTACTCGGAGGGGGTTGCTCTCATGTTCCATGTGTTTCTGCTATCGCCGCAGCTTCTAAGTGGACTTTGGGATATTCAGGTTATTGTTGGATGTCATGAGCAAACAGCTCTGCAACGAGCCCTAAACTTTTAACCAAACTTCAACCTCTTGGCCGGTTATGTCCTTTGGGTTCCAAGACCAATGCCCCTAACTCACACCGTGCCAAGAGGGCCTCTGGCTGGTCGGAGAACTTCACCTGCAAAATGGGGGCCGGCAGGGCTTTAGGTGTTTATAGGGTCGCAAGAGTACAAGGCTGAAGGTTCTGGGTTTCGGGCACATGGTTGTGACGGTGTAAGCTTAGGACCCAGGGTTCTGGGCTCAGGGGTGGTGGTTTCATCCGAGGTACAGGCCGGGGGGTCTGCAACCCGGGTTGTTTTCGAATGGCCCTAACTCGGAAGCCCCAAGCCCTTAAAACTCTAATTTCCCACCAGGAGCCGATTGTAGTTTGTCGGTTTGGGTTTAGGGTAGAAAAGTACTCCCAGGATAGAAAACTCACCCTAGGCTCCTATACCCTGAGCCATATAACTGCCAACGGGCCGATGCATGACCAAAGTGCGTGGACTTTACTGCACTCTAAACCCTATAGACTCTACGCAAAACCCTAACCCCTAAACCCTAATAATGTAAACGTTGCATTTTTAAATGGGGTGGTAATAGCAATATTCGCCGGGCCAGAGGGCCCCGGCCCAAGACTACTTTCCATCACGGGAGGTTTTCGGGCTGATGTGTGTAAACCAACCCAAATAGGGGGGTCCGAAGAGAATAATAAAGGGGTGACAATTGGAAAATTCGGCTGGCAAGGAACCAAACATATTACTCCATTGCAGAAAAGACTTTTCAGCTGAGCTGGCTTGAAGGAGCTCAAGAAGCCAGAGCTTGAGTCTTTGCAGAAGCAGATCTCGTTTGAGATTGCTGCAGCTCCAGAGCTGAGAAAAACAGCTCCTTCTCAGAGAAGCAGGTGTCTTTTGAGATTACTGCAGCTCCAGAGGCTGAGACAGATAGCCTTGCTACAGAAGCCCCTGCTCTCAGATAAGCAAAGAGACCGTGAAAGACTTACGGTGCCTGAACTGCCCCAGAGAAGTAGCAGAACCCATTTGCTGCAGGCTGCAGGGATGCGGAGGCTCAAGCCCTGCAGCAGAAGCTTCAGCCGGTCTGAGGCTTAAGACAAGAATCCCTTGAGCTTAAGACTTCAGCCTCCGGGTCCTGGAATTCTGAAGGCCGCCCGAGTTCTCAAATCAAGGTTTCCTTACTTAAATCCTTATCCGCCGGGGCTCGAAAACAAATCCGGAAAGGGTACCCCTTACAGGCCTCCACAATTAAAATGACAATAATAAAGGGGTGGCAATATAATTTTCCGAGACGGGGGAGGCCGGGAAACCAAGGAAACCTCTCAAGTTGAAGAAGAGGCTGCCTCTAAGGCTTAAGATAAAAATCCCTTATAAGCTTGAGACTTCAGCCTTCGGGTAATTACTGGTCTCAGGCTTAAGAGAACCCGAAAACAAGCCAAAGCAGACCCTTCTTGGCAGCTGACCCCCCCCCCCCCCCCGGCCAGACCCCCCGCCCCCAGACCGCAGGAATTCATTAATCCTCCTTTTTTCCCACCCTCAAATTCCCGGAAACCAAAACAAAATCTGGGGAGGGGGAGGGTTCACTAAAGTAACCCGAACATTAAACCCCAAACCCTAAACCCCGAAACAATCCTAAACCCTAAGCCCTGCATAAATTCTATTTCCAAGCTTCTAGCTTCTACACTGACACGGGACTTTTGGGACTCTCTAGCCCGCTTCGTGGAACCCGAGGCTTAGGGCGTTTATCAGAGGCTGCACAGTTTATAAAAGTTTATCGCGGGTTTATAGAGGGATTTGTGGGGTTGACAGGCTAAACCCTGAACCCTGAACCCTAAACCCTAAACCCTAAACCCTAAACCCTAAACCCTGAACCCTGAACCCTGAACCCTGAACCCTGAACCCTGAACCCTGAACCCTGAACCCTGAACCCTGAACTGGCTTCTAGGGCTCCAAAAGGCAAGGACATTTTTGGAGCACGTGGCGGCCTCCTTGCCGCGGCGGTCTTCCAGCCGCTGGTGTGCCTTGACAAACACCGGGATCCAAGCTGATTTAGGGCTTCGGGCTTTAAGCCCCGAGTCACACATGCCTTCAAGATCCTAAAGCCTAGGGTTTAGGGTTTAGGGTTTAGGGCCTGAAAGCCCGAAAAGCGTCGCAATGAGCACCCCCAAGTAGCTGCAGATCGCAACACCCTAACTGCCACATGGACCCTAGCTTCGGCGCGCCTGCGAGAAGTCCTCTTGCCCCAGCTTTGCTTTGGCCCTGGCCCAAGGCCGAGGTTCCAAGTTTGGGGGATGCCTTTAGGTTTAGGGTTTAGGGTTTAGGGTTTCGGGTTTCGGGTTTCGCTTGGGGTTAGGGGGGTTCCTGTTGGGTCATGGTCCATGCCTCAGGTTTTCAGGAACCAACTGTGTTATGTTCCGGATTTTGGGCGTTGGGGCTAGGATCCGGGGATGCAGGCTTAAGACTTAAGATTTATGAGGCCCAGGATTGACGAGAGTGCGGGTGTCGGAATGTACTTCATCGGCTCTCAGCAGGCTAGCCATAACCTGGGAGCTCAACCCGTCAAACCCTTTGGTACACTAACCCTTAACCCTAAACCCTAAACCCTAAACCCTAAACCCTAAACCCTAAACCCTAAACCCTAAGCCCGATACCTTACAGGCCCTAACGCCGGCCGAAGGTCGGGGGCGTGGCCGTGAAAACTTGCCGAAACCACACCAAAAACAGCTAAGCGCTGAGGATCGAGGAGGTGTATGGTGCCTTTTTTAGCGACGGGTGGTACCAATTTGTATTTGTACCCGCAAAAGGAGCCACGAGCGGAGGTTTACATACTCGAAACAACCCCGAAGTGACTAAAGCTTCCTGAACACGACTGAGCACTTTTCTTGTCGCATCCCGTAGCGGGCCGCCCAAGTGACAGTCTCGCAAGGACAAAGCTGTGGGTCTCAACAAGCTGCTACAGGGGCCCGACGCAAACGACGGGTGTGAAGCTTCAGGAAGTCTACATGACCCTAAGCCCTAAACCCTGAATCCTAAACCCAAAGCTAAGAGCCCTCAACCCCCAACCTGAAATGCCAAAAGTGACTAAATCGCTCCATTTTCAATAGTTCGGCGGTCACGGGCTTAGGGCTTAGGCTTTAGGGTTGTGGGTCCGTAGGGCACCGTAGGGCTCTGCAGTTGAGGGCATAGGGTCTTTAGGGCTTCATGTGAGGGATTCCTTCGAGGAAAGGGCACCCCCTCAAGCGGTGCAGATGCATTGCTCGCGAGCACCGGAAGCGCCACGGTTGGCTGTGTTTGAAATCGATGCTGCGTAGTTGGGCTCCAACACACACAAAACACTGAAAGGAGTGGACCCTGTAAACTGAAAGCCCTAAACCCCAAACCCTCAGAACCGTGTTATGTGCTCCATGACGAGAGATGAAAAATCCCTCAGACCACGATGGCACCCTGCGCGGATGCAGTGTTCACGATCTCCTCCTTGGCTATTTGGGGTTTGGGGTTTGGGGGTCAAGGCTTATTAGGATTTGCTCAAATAAAGCTCAAATTTCATTGAAATACGCCCAAACGCAAGCCCTAAACATTTTTTGGGTAGCTTTTCGGTTCCAATGAGATTAGGTTGAACTTGGGGTCGTGATCACTTTCAGAGCCAGAACGGTGATGAAACCTGGAAAAAGAGAGAGGCGAGGCAAGCAGGGAGGCCATAAACCTTCGCTTCAAAAGCCCAAGCCGGCTTCTGAAAGCTTGTGAGGGGTTTTGGTTTAAAGTTTGCATTGCAAAAAAACTGACAAACGATCTCGGCCCGAAAAAAACTAAACTGTAAGGGGGGACCCCAGGGACAGTGGGCGGATCCCCAAGAGCCCGGCAACTCTTCTTTGCAGGTGATCCCTGCAAAAATTAAGGCTGATTAAGGGCTTATTTGGGCTATTTGGAACCTTTTTTGTGGAATACTTTCCCTTGCACTCCCCGCCCTTACACTTACACCCCCCCTGGCTCTTTGTCTATGATAGCAGCATTGTAATAACCACAGGATGCCCACCAAAAAACCCAAGCCCAACCCTTCACCCGATCTGGTTTTCTGGGTTTAAGGCTTCGGGTCTATTCGGTTTAGGGCGTAGGGTTTAGGGCTTCACCCTAAACCCTAAACCCTAAGCCCTCAACCCTAAACCCCAAAACCCCAAAACCCCAAAATCCTGAGCCGAACTTGGCAAGTGGCAATCATCGCCCTGGCGGTGTCTGGGACGATCATGGGCACCAGGTGTCCTGGTTTAGGGCGCCTAGGGTTTAGGGCGGTTGAGGGTGTTAGGGTGTTGAGGGTTTAGGGTTTGGGGTTTGGGGTTAGTAGTTATAAGAGGTATTAGGCTTGGGTATTCGGCATAAGGGTCTAGGGGCTTCGAAGCCACCTAAACCCTGAAACCTACACCTACAAGCCGACGTGCCCAGCTTCCTCGCCCCTCACCCCGGAAAAAGTATACATACAGGAAGCCAAAGGTTTCCCGGCAGCTTTGAATTACAACCTTACGGCCTGAAACCCTAAACCCTAAACCCTAAACCCTAAACCCTAAACCCTAAACCCTAAACCCTAAACCCTAAACCCTAATGTTAACCTGACATTTATCAACGGGGCGGGAATTCTACGATTCGGCAGGCCCCGGGGATCCCGGTCCAAGACGACCTTCCATTCGGAGAAGGTTCTGGGCTCATATGGCTAAACTGATATATACAACGGGGTATGGTGAAAATAAAAATGGGGTGACAATTAGAAACATCGGCTGGCCAGCAGTCTACTTTCCTTTTTATTGCATATTGCTTAAGACTTCCATTGCAGAGAAGCTTTTTCAGGCGAGGTCCCTCTCTTTTTCCTTTTGCCAGTTTTTTTTGAGCCCAAACCCTGGCTAAGGATTCAACCGTCAGGGCTTCTTTAGGGTGCTTAGGGGCCTTCGCAGGCAGCCCTTTGAACTTAAACTGGCAAAGGATTCCAAGGTGCAGCAAGAACAAGAGCGTGAGCGGGAGGGATTAGGGTTTAGGGTTAGGGGCTAAGGGCTTAGGGTTTGTAGGGTACGCCCCCCCCCCCCCCCCCCCCCCCCCCCCCGAAACCCCCGACCGCCGAACCCCAAAACCTAATGAAGTCAAGCCAAATTCTACTTGGCTTCTAATTCTCACCGAGGTGAAATTCCCTTAACCACGGATTGTGGACACCTCCTTGCAGCCCCCAACCCCCCGACAAGAGAGCTCAGCAAACCGAAACAAACATGAGACCAGATATTCACTTCTGGCCATGAGTCCGGTGTAGAGGATCGTGTAGTAGGACAGGGCACCAGATGATCTCTGGTAGCCTGGCCCGACGTTTCGGGCTGTTGAGAGTTTAGGATTTCGACCGCTGTCACCCCGAACCCCCATGATTTAGAGTTCAGGGTGCAGGTTGACTGAGTTAGGTTGTCCAGCTTCCGATTTCAAGGCTACCATTTGGGGAGTCTACTAGAATGATGTCCAGGAAAGACTACCCGACTACTAGTTAGCATGCGGTCGCAGCACTCTCCCTCAACCTGAAAATGCCTCAAAATTTCAACAGAACCTCTGACCATCAACTAAAATTCCACAATCACCACAACCTCATAAACCCCGAAGCGCTAAAAACCTTACGAACCTCAAACCTTTCAACGAAAGCCGCCAGAGGGCCTGCCAAAGACCCGAGGGGTCGCCAAGGGGTGGTTGCCGCAGCGTTGAAGGCCAGGGTGCCATTCCACTTCAAGGCCTGTTTGGGGTTTAGCGTTGGGGGGGTTGGGCGGGTTAGGGTTTAGGGTTTAGGGTTTAGGGTTTAGGGTTTAGGGTTTAGGGTTTAGGGTTTAGGGTTTAGGGTTTAGGGTTTAGGGTTTAGGGTTTAGGGTTTAGGGTTTAAGGTTAGGGTTTAGGGTTTAGGGTTTAGGGTTTAGGGTTTAGGGTTTAGGGTTTAGGGTTTAGGGTTTAGGGTTTAGGGTTTAGGGTTTAGGGTTTAGGGTTTAGGGTTTGGGGGTGTTTGTGGATTCAGGGTTTAGGGCTAGGGTATGAGGTTGGGGGTTTAGGTTCCCTTTTTGGGGCCGTTTGCCTTCAAAACCAGACCAAACTCGAACCCCCCTTGCCCTTAAACCCTTGCTTCAACGGCTGAGGATTCAGTGCAGAATCCTTGCACAAGTAGGGTTTAGGGTTTAGGGTTTAGGGTTTAGGGTTTAGGGTTTAGGGTCTCCGAGGCCCCTAAGCTCCTTTCAGCACCTTCTCCGGCTCCAAAAGTTGGACCACACTGGAGTCTTATAGAGCAAACTCCTTCCTCCAAACCCTAAACCGTAAACCTAAACGCCGAAACCCCCTAACACCCCTACAACCCTTTAAAAAAAACCCGGAACCCATAACCCCCCCTGTTTGTTCAGCTTTTTTGAGCCAAGCCATCCCCTCCCACTCCTTCATGGACATGAGGTTACCCAGGTGGTTGCACACCTCGGGCTTAGACTTAACACATGGGGGGAGGTGGGGGGTTGGTTGTTCGAATGGTCAGGGATGGGCCATGGAATAAGAATCATCCTTACTCACAAGGACAACTACCTCGTGGTCGTTTTGGGGAACAGGTCTTTTGAACAACTAGCACATTTAAACACCCACACCTTACTTCTCCAGCTTATAAGGGTCTTTGGCAGCACATTACAAATTACAACCCCAAACCCCAGGCCAAACCCTTCGACAGAGAAGAGTCTGTGGGTCTCCATTGGAGAACCAGGGAGGGTTCTGAACTAGGTGACCAAGCCCGATTTACAATGGTTTTGCGGAAGAACCTCTTTGCCTAGTAGTGCTACTAGTGGGCCCTCCGTGATCGACCTGAGCCCTACGCCCTCCTCTAGGTAGTCAGAGTTTGGAAGCACAAAATCCTTAAACCCTTAGAGAAGCCCTAAACCCTATTCAAGAAAACAACACGGGAGACCCAATCAACCTTAAGCATTGGCAACCGTGCTTGGGAATGCCAAGATGTGAGAAACGGTTGATCCGGTTGAGGGAAGCTCCCAAAGGACTGTAAGGTTCCGGGCTAACTAACCCGAAACAGCGACATTTACACAAGACGGTCTATGTATGGTTTTGGGGTGAGGTAGTTCGTTGCCTATTCATTCTTCACGGTTTCGTGGGTTCGGGTGGCACGCGCCCCACAAACCTTCCGGATGAGTGAACCCCTCAACCCTTGCAAAAGACCAAAAACCCCCAGGCCAGAAAAACCATTAGCCGAAACGCGGCTTAGGGTTTCGGATTTCGGGTATAGGGACACTGGCACTGAATTAGACAACACCCCCAAACCAGAAGACCTCATCCCTAAACCCTAAGCCCTAAACACGAAACCCTAATCTGCAAACTCCACTGAAGACAGCTCCGCCACGGACCCATCGCGAACGCCATTGTAGGTCACCACACGGTAGCCTCCGACAGATCGCAGCTCAGGCCCTACAAACTTCAGGACTGTATGGTTCAGGGTTTAGGGCTGTATGGTTACGGTTTAGGGTTTAGGGCCTGCCCTTCCCCAAACCCTAAACCCTGAGCCCTGATTCCTAAACCCTTCGGGTTTCGTGATTTTAGGGTTCGTGCCACACTTTTAGGGTTTCTTCATTTTGAATTCTGGATTGTTTTTTGGGGGGGCTTCTACTCTGGTATGTCTTGCCCAGGGTTTCTGCTGCTAAAGCTGATAATTACAGTTCAGAGGATAAAGGGCTCTGGGCTTAGGGTTTAGCTCAAGGCTGTTTCAAAGTCATGGGCGCTTTCTGAGGGGCTCCTTCACGCGCAATATCCCTAGACCATGAAAGGTACATGAGAGCTTCGCACTGTCCACAAAAGTTTTCTCAGAACGATACCTTAAGTTGAGGGTTTGCCCTGGCCCCTGGAACAGCCTTTACAACCTCCGCACCCCTAAGCCCCAAACTGTGAGACCCGGCCTTTCCCAGCATCCAACAGCGCCTCGATCACTCTCATGCCTGTACGGCGTGGGAGGTTCTAAGAGCTTGAGGCCTCTAAGGCTTGGGTTTCAGAGTTGGGGGTTTGGGGTTTAGGGTTTAGGCTTCGGGGTTCATTCAGGCAGTAACACCCCTACTAGGGTTGAGTGTATGGGGTTCCGCCTGCCACAAAGCCCTCAAGCCCAATCGCTAACCCATAAACTTGCCAGTCTCGCCAACACCCTGAACCGCAAACGCATGAAGAAAACGTCAGCTACAATTAGGGTTTAGGGCTTAGGGTGTTCACATTTCAGGGTTTGGAGTTTGCGTTCATGCTTCCTTCTGCTTTTTCAGCTTGTTTCAACTCCGACCCAAAATTCCTGAAATAAGCTTCAAGCTCCTATAAAACCCTCTATCCCTGAAACCCCAACTCATAAAGCCCGTCTCCGGATGTAAAGTAGGTGGAGCGCCATGGATAGAAGCGGATAAAGGCCGTCGTGGATACACGCCCAGGGATGCAGAACTCCAGGACCGAAACCACCAAGTCAACGAAGCATGCTGGTATCCTTGCAAGATCCCAGAAACCCCGACTTCCAAGCCCTTAAGCCCGAAGCCCACAACACTTTGTTGGGCAAAGGGCCTTGCTCAGTCTCGAAGTCGTTGACAAGGCCTTCGGCCACGGGGCCAACCTGTCGAAGGGCTCAGAGGTGCTCAGAGGGTTGGAAGGCTTTCGGCTTCGGGTGTGTCCAGAACCCCTAACCATCCTAAACCCTAAACCCAAATTAAACTCAACCCTAACCGCATTTTGAAGGCTCCGGGTTTGGGGGGGGGGGGGGGGGTAAGAGCTTAATGGTCTTGGTGTAGAGGGGTGTGGTACCCGCTCAGTTATCCCAGCCACTCGCTGCTTAGACCTTGATCTCTCTCGAGCGGCGCCCGTCATATCTTGGGTCTTGGACCTAGCGCGATGCGACAATGCCATAGGTGGAGGCATCACTGGCGCACCAGGTGCAGCTTGTGAAGATGAGCTCCACACTAAGCGCATGTCCGAGAACGTACACCTGGTGGGTACCCAGACCACCAGCGTTCCTAGGCCCTAAGCACGCCTCTCCAAATCACTTCGACAATAAACTTGCAATCCCATCCAGGCTCTTGAATTTTTGTGGTCTTGGAGCGTGCTTCAAGCCTATGCATTGCTTGCCCACCCACCATGAGCTCTAAATGAACATCAAACCCCAAGCAACCGTCTACACCCTAAAACCTGAAACCTTCTAAACCCTAAAACCCGAAAAAACCCAAACTCCAATTTAAACCCAAAACCCCTGAACCCTAAAACCCAAACACCCTAAACCCAAAAACCCTACAACTCTACAACCCTAGTCCCTAAAGCCCCAACCCCCGAACTAGAGGAAGAGGCAGGCCTCATCCGACTGGCGCCAGGTCCTGAGAAGGCCCAGACTCTTATTTAGAGAGCCACGCGAGTGACAAACTGTTTAATTGACCTGTTAGACTGTAAAGGGATATAAGCCCTACATCCTGAACCCATCAATTCTCCCCTCCCCCCTCCCGCTCTCCGCCCTCCCCGAAACCCCAAGCCCAACATTCTGCCGTCACTCGGGATTGACATGACTCTCGCGGCTTTAGTTCCCACTTCTAAGGCTTGGAGGGTGTTTTTGTGGGCTCATGTAGGGGTTCAGGGTTCAAGGGGCGCGGAGGGCACATGGAACATGTCCCGTAGCTTTGGCTTTGAGAGGGCCAGAAGGGTTCTTCCACAGCAGCTTGGGGGAGACAGATGTCTCAAACAAGTGGACGTGGGGCTGTGGCCAAAGACATCCAAAGACCATACACCCGCCTCTAAGAGAGCCCTAGTTGCAAGAATGTTCCTCCTGCACCGTCTCTAGAATATACGCTGTCGGATCGCTGCTGGAAAGTTTTAGGGTTTAGGGGGAGTTTGGCAGATCAGACATGCTCAACTATCTTCGGGTTCCAGACTCAGACTGTGGGGTGCCAGTCACGGATGATTTGCGGAGCTCAATTTGTTCTCCACCTTTCGGGGTGAGGGCTTGTCAAATGAAACGCTAAAAACCTAATCCCTAGTTCAACTCCGAAGCACGAACAGTTTAGGCTTCGTAGGTCCCTCCCTTCACGACCTGGGAACCCTAAACCCTAAAACCCTATTTTTTCATGCGTCACGGCACCATGGCTTCAGGCTTTTGTCAGGGGCTTGCCGAAGATCTGGATGTCAGTTGGGCTTGCAACGGCAATGCCCAACCCTACCTTAAGAGCCCATAAACTCCTATGTAGATTCCTGCTTTAAAGCCGTTTAGGATTCTTAGGCTACTTACGAAGAAGTAGGCTTTCCAGTGATTTCGGCTTCTCCCCTTTGCTCAGTTGGCCCTTGGAAGACCTCCCAAAAACAGTCGTAGACAGGCCCCGTTAACGTTGAAGAAAGCAATAACGAATATAGAACAGCACCCAAGGGCTAACCAAGGTGAAGGCGGCACTTCGTCTTTGAGGGCTGTTCGCCCTAGGTTCAACGGAACCCCTGAGTCCCTGAGCTTCACATTTGAGGGCAACGGCTCGGTTGCACTAACCTGCATCCCTCTAAGCCTTCTTCTCATCCTCTGAGTCTTCCTGGTGCTTGCCATGCTGTACCACCTGCTGCTTCTCTGCCAGAGCCTCTAAGTAGCGCTGGTGCATCTCTGACAAAGCCTGCTCGAGCTCCTCGACGCCCCTCTCACGCATCTCCAGCGAGGTTTGCTTCAAACGGCTGTCGTGCTCGCGAACTGCCACAACTTTCTCTCTTGTGGCAAGCTCCAATCGTGGATCTGTGTGCTGAATGGCATGAGTGTCGACTCCTACCCAAATGGAGAGGCGTTTGTCGTCCAAAGAGAGCTTGTAAGGCACTATTTTGGCTTGGACACCCTTGGGACAGCTGAGGCAACGGAGGGAGCTGACGTCACGCGGGGCCAATGCTGTCTCAATGGTCTCCTCCACAAGGGTGGCGTACTCATGGCATCGGAGGCCTCTGTAGTTGAAAGTTGCTGCTGCTGCGCCAGCAGCTGCAAGGGAACATCCAGTAATGAGCTGGTCCAAAATCTGCCGGTCTTTGGGCAAACGTACTAGCTCTGTGAGGTGCGTGTTTTCCCTCATGGGTCCCATGTATGCCTCCAACCCTGGCGACGATTCAACTACATGGCCGGATTCTATGCTGATGCTGAGCCATGCACCTCCACCTCTTTTCAGCAACTTGTTGATTGCCAGTCGGCATCGATGAAGCTCAGCGCACGCTGAGCACCAAATACGCTCGGCTAGGTACGCAGGAACCAGCATGCAGAAGGCCGCCAAGAAGCATGGCACACCTGGCACGCCGGTCGTCTGTTGCAGGACGATCAAAGCGGCGCCATAGGTACCCACAGCAAGGGTTTCGGTGCCGCACCTATACTCCCCTTAGAACCTTAAAAAACTAGTAATTTTAATATCCTCTTGGGTTTTATATAAACAAAACCTTCCCAAGGGGGATATAGGCACATGGTCACAAGGACGATGATCCAAAACATCGCCAGGTGCTCGGAGCACAGGCCATTTCGGCGCTCCCAGGCTGGAGAACCCTCATCATCCGTGCCGACTACGTGCCAAGCGGCTCGCCAAGTGTGCACGGCCGCTGCCAAGCCGAGAAAGATGTCGGGACGCGATGGTGCTGGGTCCCTAAAGGCCGGTACAAAGCCAGCAAACAGTAGGAGGAATCCAAATATCAGGTTGTTCAGTACCAGCCAATAATTGAATCCGGACTCCATACCCTCCGCCAGGAGGGCAGCAATGAACACTGCCAACGTCGTCAGAGCACGAACCCAGCGACGGCTGAGGACGCTCCACGCGTAGCCGGGAGTGGAAGGAAGCATGTTCCGCTGAACGTAGTGATAGATGCTTCCCATGGGAAGGAAGCAGCAGATGTCCCGAAAGACTGGGGGGCGCTGGGGCTGTTCCTCAGGTACCTTGACTTTTCGACAGTTCCTAAACAAAGAGGTAGCAATTAATTTACAAGTCAAATCGTAACTAGAACACAAGACATTGGGATTTTCCCCCTCATACTAACAGTCGTTAATAGGGAGTAATCGGGGTACTCTCATCATAATCCCTATTAAGGCCTGTTCGTATAAGGGGGGAACATCCCAAACAAAACGCTATACGACTCCTTATTACTACTTTAAGGCCCAGGCGCTGCCTCCGCCTCGCTCTCCTGTGAGGCCAGTCCGGTCTCAAGATCCGGTGCTTCAAGCAGCGGCTCAGCCGATGCCATGATCGTCAAAGATAAGGCGCACAAAGGCGACGCAGGTCTACAGCTTGAGGCGCACAGCAAGCTGAGGCCGGAGAAGGAGGTTCTGACCCCAAACCCGGAAACCCTCCTGTTCCTACGTGTGCAGCACTAGGCGACCGCGAAGGTCTAAGTCCCGAGGCCCCAAGCCTGAGGCCGAAAATCCAAAAACCCTAATTAAACCCTATAAGCCCCGAAAGCGCTTTATGGTAGAATTTGGTCTCTTTGGGGTCCTTCAAGGTGGCCCCTGTCTTTAGGGTACCTTAAAACGGACCATCACTTCGAGAGCTGGCCATGTATGAATGCTGAGCCCTATTTCTTCGGGGCTCTCTGGTCTCCAATCAGGCCCAGCCACGGCATCCATCCCTAAAAGGGGTTCCCAAGCCTCTCCAGAACCTTTGGGGCTTTAGGGGTCTAAGGGGCTTAGGGGGTTTAGGGGGCACCTCCAGCCGAAAGCAGTCATTGCTCCTAGTTGGTGCAGCTCAGGGTCTAGGGATTCGAGGTTAGGGCTCATCTGTGTTTTGAAGGGTTTGGGCTTCGGATTCCGCGCAAAGCTCGTCCTATAGCCTGCCTCCCCTAAACATCCCTAAACCCTAAACCCTAAACCCTAAACCCTAAACCCTAAACCCTAAACCCTAAACCCTAAATCGCAAACCCTAAAAGCTAAACACCCAGCACCGGGGTTGAGGGTGTCGGGCGTCCTGTTCCCGACATGGAGGGCGGCCCGAGTCGCCGCGCTGTTCAGGTAGCCTTGGCGCAGGCAAGATGCCACGCTAACAGAGGTGTCGGAAGGGGGGGCTACTTAGGTATATGGGGCCTGTTTAAGGTATGTATGGAGGGTACTATTATAGGGGTCGGAGGAATTACTAATCGTATTCCCTTGTGGTCCATTTCTAAATATACGATGACAACCCCGAAAAGCCTTTTGAAAGTAAGAAAGCCCCCCATAATACTCTTTTGACCACCTCCATGGGTGTTAGGGCATTTCTCGGCCATGCGGGTGGCCTGTATGTTGTAACCGCAAGTTGTGTTGGGATACCCATGAGCAACCAAGCATGTCAGCTTGCATAGGCTCATCTCCTCAAGTTGCAAGAGAGCAGAACTACACAACAATCTGCAGCACGCCCCTACATCGGCAGAACAGAAACAGCCCTAGGCCCCAACCCTTAATCCCAGACCCTAAATCCCAGATCTCTAAACTCCCACCTCCCCGGCCCTAGGGAACCCTTAATCCCAGACCCTAAATCCCAGATCTCTAAACTCCCACCTCCCCGGCCCTAGGGAACCTTGAACCCTAAATCCGAAACCATGCCAGCCAGGTGACAATCCAAGGTGACAAGTGGCCAACCCTTTCGAAAAGTGCGCAGCAATCCTACGCCGAACCCGACATGACCCTAAACCGTAAGCCCAAGCTCACAATCGGTAGCCCTGTGACCCCCCCTGCCCTCCCCCGAACAAAATGAATAACAAATCTAGATCTTTCGCCTAAACCCTACAGCCTAAAGCCCACGGAGAGCCCCAGGGACGGCCCAGGAGGTCCGTCAGCTTGTCCAAGAACGAGGCGTCCTTCAAGCCTTCGGCTGTGGGAGAGGTGGGGTGAAGGCTTTTTGGGGTTTTGGAGGATTAGGGTGTAGGGTTTGGGGGTTAAGGTTTAGAGTTTCAGGGGTTGAGATGTAGGGATTCAGGGGTTTAGCGCTTTAAGGGTTCAGGGTTCAGGGTCTGGGGTTCAGGGTTTGACCGGCGCCCGCCGAAGTAGCCCTTTGTCAGTCAGGCAACCTTGGGGTCTTAGGAATGAGGTTTCGGGTTGAGGGCCCTAAAGCCTGAACCCTAAACCCGAAGCCCTAAAGGTTTAAGGGCTGAGGCTTTTGAATTGAGAGCTTATACCGGGCTTGGTTTGCGTCTGGTCTAGGTTTGAATAAGAGTTCAGGACTGGGCCTCTTGGGTTTTAGCAGGTTAGCCTTTGTGGCCAAGGGTGACTTTCAGGGTTTTGGGGCTTCGGCTTCCGGCTTCTGCAGATCTGGGCTTCGGGTCGATTGTCTAGCTGAGAACCCCAAGTGTAGCTCCTTTGTTTTGGTGCTGCTTTCTTATTGCAGTCTCCGAACCGTAAAGCTAGGCCTATGTGGAGGCATGAGGGGAGGGTTTGGAAAGGCAAGGGACTAAAGGAGGGACCCTATGAGGGACCTTAGGAGCAATGTATCAGCTACTTCGGTTTTTAGGGACTATATACGTTTTTTGTTGTATAACTAGGGGCTACATAGGGGAATAAGATGAATTAAGGGTCGCTTCCAGGGGTCCCTCCTTATCTCCCAGAAGTCAATGCAGCAAGGTACTACCAGAATCCCCAATCGCAAGCTCTGGGAAACACACACGCGTGAGATCCTGCAAAGGCTTTCGCCTCAAGAGAGCCATCTACTGCTGTTTCAAAACCTGGGACCTTGCGCCCAAACCCTGCGACCATAGAAAGTGCTGCAGTATGACAGGACCTCCTTCCCTTGCCCCTCCTCAACAAACACCGCACTTTACGTGAGGCCCCTGGCCGACATCGTAGTAGAAGACGCCTCCTGCCGTCGTATTGCTTGCCTGGTGACGTGGTCCTAAACCCCAAGCCCCGAACCCTACCGACCCTGAACCCGACAGACCCTCAGCCCTACGGACCCCTAACCCTACAAGCGCAAGAAACTCTATCAACCACATGAACCTTATAAAACCCTAACCTTGACAAACCCTAAGCCATAGAGACCCTAAACCCAAGCAATTCTGAACTCCTTAAAGTTGAAGTTGCAACCCAAAAGCTGTGCAGAGGGAGGGGTTCAGGTTTTCAGGGTTAAATATTCAGTGTGGAAGCTTTTGGCCGTACATAGGGTACATGGGTAGTTATACGTAAGGCTGTCAACATTAGACATAGGCATCACTCTAGTTATCTCATACGCCGAAACCCTAAACCCCTGAACCTCACGGGCGTTTAAGGGTTTTAGGGTTTAGGGTCCCAAACGCATAACCCCCCCTCAAACAACACAACAACTCGGTTTGCACCTGAGTCCCAGTAGTTTAGTGTTTAGCGCTTCAGGAGGCCAATCCCTCAACCCGACAAGCGCCAGTGGGGTTTAGGGTTTGAGGTTTAGGGTTTAAGGCTTCGGGCTGAACGTTCAGGGCTTAGGGCTTCAGGCTTCGGGTGTAGGCTTCTTGGGCTTCGTTCACCGAGCTGCGTAGAGATCGTGCACGCTGTCTTCGCAGAACTTCTCGGCTTCCTTCAGCTTTTGGTCCTTCACAAACTGCTTCAGAGCTGGGTTGGGTAACCCTAAACCCTACTTAAGCCCTAAACCCTAAACCCTAAACCCTAAACCCTAAACCCTAAACCCTAAACCCTAAACCCTAAACCCTAAACCCTAAACCTCAAACCTCAAACCCTTAACCTCCCACCCTTCAGGTTTTGAGCTTTTCTCCGGCGTCCTTGAGGGGACTCTGCAGGGCTTGGAGGCTATCTATTGCCAAACCCGTGAAAGTGGACCTCTGGGCTTCTGCTCCTAAACTCTAATTGTGGCTTAGGGTTTAGGGTTGAGGGTTTAGGGTGTATATATAGGGTTTACGGGTAAGAGAAGCCCTATACCTTAAGCCCTGCATCCTAAGATAAGCCCTAAACCTCGAATCCCACCTCGTGTTTTTGCAAGGACGACAGTTTAGGGGTTCAGGGTTGAGGTCATGGAGGTGTGAGGCCTGTCGGGATCCTCCATGCCCGACACCCCCCCAAAACAAGCAAATGCCCCACAAGTGCGGGATTGGGGAATCCAGAGATATGTGTTCGGGTTCAGCTTGCAAAGGAGAGGCGCATTGCCCCTGCGTTCGGCTTCAAGGTCCCCCCCCCCCTTAGGCATCCGGTTTTGGCCACAATTTAGGGATTAGGGTTTAGGGCTTTGGTTTAGTTGAAGGTTGGGTCTAGGGTTTAGACTACAAGAACTGAGTCAGAGTAGGGCGTAACCGATGCCCTTCCCAAGCCGCCTCAATGAGCTTCACACATTTCGAGGCCCGGTCACGGGCGATCTGGGATGAGGAAAGCCTACAAAACCTAAAAGCCAACCGCCAGAAGGCTAGAAGCCAAAAACCCTAATCCCCTAAATTCCTAGGCCCCTTAACCCCCATAAACGCCTAAACTCGATGCAGTGGTCTTGGGTGTTTGTGGCTGCAGAAGAGTCGAACTTCAACCCTCAATCGCAGGCGCAAGCCCTAGGCTCCTTAGGTTTAGCATTTGGGATATGAGTTCCTCTGAACCTCCAAGCCAACTACAATGTGCAACCCCTATTTAGGTTTCCAGGTTTGGGCTTAGGGTGAAGGTGTAGGGGGTTGGGGAATCCGAGCTTTGGTCAACTTGTCCAGCTTCTTGGGGAACTCAATTTCCAAAACTTGCTCACGCGTGCGTCATGAGTTTTCTACAGAATCCCTTGAGGTGCCAAAAAAGTGCATGGACTCAACGAGCCTACAAACCAAGCCCGAAATCAAAACCTTAGACCCTGAACCCTCAACCTCTTGCTCAGATTCAGCCGGGAGTTCTGAGAATGTAGGGCTTTGCTAGGGGGAGAGGGGTGCGAGGGTTTGCTTTGCGGTTTAGGGTTTCAAGTTTAAAGTTTCGGGTTTAAGGGGTCAGAGATTGCGGTTCTTATCGGGATCCGGTGCATCGGGCCTTGGCTCCTACCATTGAACCATTTGCGGCCGAGGGAGCCAGCAGCTGATGGTCGTCAATCAGGCCCATGTTGTACGCAAACTCAGGCACCTAAGTCCAGTCTTTCGGAACGCCGCATCATGTAAGGCAAAAGATATGCTGCACACGATAATTGTAGTAAACATATAGAATACCTAAAGTATTTATAATATTTGAAAATACACAGTTTTTATTCGCACCAAAATCTACTACGCTCACTATGTGTTTTCAGGCACACGCGTCGCCATGGATATGTATGTACAAAGACATATTATAGATGACGGTATATACA